TACATGGAACTATCTCAGTAAAAACTGAACCAGCAGAAAAACAATATTTTTGTTTCCCCTGGGTTACTTTTAAGCAAGCTCCCCTATGGCCCAAGGAGTGTTTGCGACAGCATAAGAACGCATGTGAGTTGCCTGGAGGTAGGAGAGAAAGAGGGGTGAGTGCCTTTTTCTGACACTACCACAGTCTAAAGTGCTCGTGGACCTATCATTTTGTTGTGCTCGGCACTTTCATATAATAAGCAGTTTATCCCTTGAAGAAGTTGCATCATGAGTGAATAAGGTAGAAGTGTGGGAGCAAGGAAGTATCTTCTCTGATTTCTGTTGGGGAAATTGAGGCTCAGAATTGAACTTGCCTAAGAGTAGAAAGGCTGACTTGCCAAGAGCCAAATTCCAGTCTCCTGAATCACAGCCTTGTGCCTTATCCACAGGACCAACCTTTCTCTATTAGCATTTCCTTTCTCTCCACCCTGTTTTGAGAGGAGGCACGGTAGCATTGTTCTATGTCAAACTCAAAGCACAATATGGGAACATTTCCAGCAGAATGACTTGAACAACCTTTGAGTTTATCACTAATCTAGAAGCCATGACTTTTCTTGGAATGACTTCTGCATTAGAACCTTCCTCAGGACCAATAACCACAAAAGCTTTAACCATCAAAAGGCCTGACAGTGTTTAAATAAGAGACCTTTGATATTAAAAAGCATACTTCAAACAACAAAAGGTTTCTTAAGGCATAGAGGATTATAAATTACTAATCAGGGGAGTACGTGAGGCTTGAGATACAGTGGACAAGAAAACAGGACTTAACTTTATTCCATAAGCAGATAAGTGAATTATTTTATTATTTGTATCCCTAGTATGCTGTGCCTTATGAGGAGAGCTATATCTGAAAGTACCTTAGTGCCTTCTTGGCTACTTAACCAGGCCAGTGACAAGCGGCTTATCTTTGATCTAAGTCAGATAGCTGGGAACAGGAAATAAAGACTCAACAGTTTGCCTGTGCTGCTTTTATATCACAGCAGGCTTCAGCAGATTTTATTGGGCAATGCCTGTGCTAAGCACCACTGAAGAGCCATCATCCTAGGCTGACAAATAACATGTCAAACACTCAGTCCTTTGCTGTAGGAAGTTTTGGTGGCGTGGTTTTCTTTTTTCCTCCCCATTGTTTTCTCCTCTTGCTTGACCCGTGACATTCCCTGGCAGAGCAGGAAGCTTGATTCCTTACAGCAACCTAGGTGTTAACTGTGCTAGTGCAGCAGCCAGTGAAAAGCAGGAGGGAGGACTTGTCTTTGGACTTGATAAGTGGAGAAAAATGGGCTCTTAAAACATTCACTTTAACTGGAAGATGGGAAGTGAAGCTCTGGATCAAACTGGTCTAAGAATTCTGGTATCTTGCCTCTGGCTATAGCCAAAGTCAGCTGACAAAAATAATAGTGATGCACCTGGCTTTTGTTATGCAATGCCACAGGAGGGGAATTCCGTCCTGCTTTTTGCGAAGATCTGCATATGCCCAAAGTTATGACATGTTTTTACACTTCGTGTCAGGTGCTGACCAGGTTTCTGTAATTACCAGTGCTATACCGCAATTCTCTAGTTCCCATCACTTTCATGGGGTAATCCCTGTGCCTTAGATTCAGATCGTGGCAGAACAAAATTGTGTACAGGGTAGTCACAGGAACAGAGGGATCTTGCATGATTTTGGGTAAGGCTTCTGATTTGCTGAGGTTTTTGCCTTTTCCTTGGGAAGGCTTCTCAGTTTCTGTCAAAATTCCCCTAGTTTAGGAACAGGAGCACATTTTAAAACAGCCATGCTGGGCTTAGACTAAAAGATTGTTTTGTCCTGCTATTGTGCTTTTCCCTGAGCATCAGTTTATGGGTACTGCTGGAGAGAGAAAAACTGTTAAGAAAACATCTCCACTCACACTGTCCTCCTTCCAATAACTGTGTTCAAGGACTTCATGAGCCAGACCTAGTCTTTCATTCTAGTCCCATTCAGATGATGGGAGAGTATAGATCTTGTACAGTGAAACACTTCATACGGTTGGTTTTCCTCTAATTTTATTATAGGTTGTTTTCAGGGAAAGGGTGTAGGAATAGAGTTAAAGTTTTTGGGATGCTATAAGAAGTGCAACCCACTCATCTTTTTCTTAAAAATAGTATCAAGAAGCCGTTTGTACCAGAAACACTGGTGTGTATGTGAGATACTGCCTCAATTTTTAACATGCAGTCTTAAGGACTGTCTTTGAGTAGCCTGTTCCTGCAAGCCCTAAGAGTTAGAGTTCAAAAGAGCTGGGGAAAAATAGGGAATGTTTATTGATGTTTTAGTCATAACGTGGTATTTGTATTGCCTGGAATCTTGCCCTTAATTTCACATCAGTTTAGACTGTATACTCTACAATAACACTTTTCTTCTGGAGAAATGAGTAGACACTTCTGTTTTGAGCCACAGTTTCCCAGGTGCCCTGGTCTATGTCTATTCATTAGTGTGATGAGCTAGAGAAGTAGGTGGGAACCAGAGGTATAAACTGTATTTAGGGAAGCACCTAAATTCATTCTTCCTGAACGGCCACAGTTTACTATGAGATTTTGCAAACCAGCCTGAAGGTAAGAAAGGAAAAGTGTTTCATCACTTCACATGCCTGTACGGACAGCTTGCTTTACATCCAAAACTCCCATCTACGCTCCGGCTCCTGGGTAATAACCTTGCAGGGCTTTTCCAGTTTCAGCTAGCTGAGAGCAGTAGCACCCATTTCCCTTTTAAAATCCTGTCCAGATCACTCCTGTGACCTGCAGGGATGCCCTCAAACTGGGAGCATTCCTCCAGCTGTTCAACCTTGTGAATGAAAGCTGTCCAAAACGGTTGTGCTGCAGCCAGGTGATCAATTAAGAAACCTGAGGTAGCTTCTAATATTAGATGTTCATGAGCTCAACGTGTTTAGATGTGGACACTTAACGGGGAGAAATCAGAGTGGTGTGTTCTCTTATTTGTTGTCGTGATGCTTCTTTTACCAGAGAGCAGCACAAGTGACGAGGTGCTGAGCTCTGAGCACCCTCTGTGTTAACATGCCACACCGTTGGCATCTTCCAACCCCATTGCTGAAAATGCAAGAGGAAAGCATCTACCCTTCACCTCAACCCACAGCTACCTCCTTGAAGGTTTTGTTTGAGGTCTCTGTCAGTGCATGCTTTGTGGTTGTGTGTGTACGTGTAGGTAAAATCTAAGTTTGATTTAGAATATTGGAACCACTTTCCTGCTTTATTTTACATCATCAAGTATACGGAACCCAAGAAATCCCTGAAGACATAAAGATCTAATCCTAATTTCTCATAGTTCTAGGGCACTGCTGGTTTGTACCTTTCTTGGGTTTTTTGTGGGAAAGAAAATGAGAATTGTACTCTTCTGCCAAGAAACTAACCCACAACCATACAATTATTTCAGCATAGTATCTAAATATAATCATGTAGCTGTTCTTCCCTTGAATCTTCTGGAGCTGATGTCATAGATGTTTTGATTATTCCGTGTGCCCCATAGGATTCTTCTATTCTCATTTCACAGTAGTTCTGTGTTAACAGTTCCATGAAAATACGTTACATAATGTTCTTCCCAGGCTCCTCTAGCTTTGTACATCAGTAGAGCTTCATCGCTTCGCTTTCTAAAATCCATCCGGATAATATATCTATTTAGATGATGAACTGTGAATCTTAAGGTAAATAAGGAAAGTTTTGCTTGCAGGAGGGAGAAGGATAATTTCTGTTTATAGGAAATATCGTATAACCATGAATGATGATAGCTGGCTGAAGTTAAGGTTATAAAAAGTCCTGTTGAGGTGGCCACAGAGCGGGAAAAATAACAAGCATTGAGTAGTCTCTTCTGTTTAGCTACTGGGGTTAGTGTACAGATTTGCAGATTATAGAAAAGCATTTTCTGCTGTGATTCATTTGTATACATCCCCAATAATCTTTGCTTTAATAAAGGATAGTGAGAAAAAGAAGAGTCAAAATTTACCACTTAATCTACTTTGCTTGAGTGCTCTTTGTTTTCGTTGTTGTTTTATTGTTTCCTTTTCAAGAATACTAATTCATTGGGCTGCGTTTTCACAGGTGTCAGTGTACTGCATTCCCAGAGCAAAGATTTCAGGAAAAAAAAAAAAAATCTTGCTGCAAACTCAGTGCGGTCTTGTACCACAGACGGGTGGGGGGCTTGGTGTTCCTCTCTTTACAGGTGTTTTTAATCCCCTCAGATTTGCTTGTTCTTTCCTGCTCCGTCCACCTGAGCCAAACGTGGGGCTGTGGCGTTTTTCCTCCAGTGCTCATCTCCTTTGCTTGCTCTAGCTGGGTCAGGGCCGAGCTGTGAGATTTATTTCAGATTTGGCTCTGGAGTGCTCTGAAGGCTGGGGACATTTTTAAATTGACTATTGTGACTTAATCAACGTGTTCCTGATTTGGCTTTCCTTACTTTCACTATCAGCCCGTCCCTAGGACGTACAGTTTTCTGTTACGGCTGGCTGCCTGTGAAAAAGATGGATAACAAGAGGGCTTGGCCTCTACGGGCTTACAGCGGGGGGAAAGGGGGGTGTTTAAGAGTGATGGAAGGGTGCTGCAAAGGCAGGTGCCCTCCAGGCGCTGAAACAGCCTGCCAAAACGGAGGGCGAGGGGTAGGGGCTAGCCTGACTCCTGGGAAGAAGCAGGCTCCCCATCCCTCTGCTGTGCTCTGCCAGGCGGGGGGGGGGGGGGGGGGGGACGGGACTCCCGTAAACGGCGCTGAACTTGTTTCTTTTTACTTCTGGCTACCACGGAGGAAAGAGGGCCGGAGGAGAAACTCCTTCCCCGTGGGAAGGGGGGAGATGTGTGTGCGCCTGCATGTGTGCCTTGCTTCCCCCCCCCCCCCGCTGCAGTTTCACCCCTCCTCCCCGGAGCGGGGGCAGGGGCGGGTGGCGGCTCTCGGGCCGGGGCGGGGCGCGGCGGGGGCGGGGGGCGGCACCGCGCACGTCCGCCCGCCGGGAAAGTCCCCCTGAAAAGGGCGGCGGGGCGCGGCGCGGCGGGGCACGGCAGCCACTCGGAGCCGCTCTGTCCGTCCGTCCGTCCGTCTGTCCGAAGGGTGCGGGGTCCGGGCGGGGAGCCCCGCGGCGGCAGTGGGGCCGGAGCGGCTGCGCGGAGCTGTCAGCATGGCCGGTGAGCGGCGGGACGTGGCGAGGGGAAGGAAGGAGCCGGGGGGGGGGGTGTGGGGTGTGGGGGGGGTGAGGTACCGGGGGAAGGGGAGCGACCCCGCTCCCACTGGTGCCCCGCGGGGCTGCGCCCACCGCCCCGGCGTCGGGGCGATGCGGGAGGCGGAAAGCTGAGCCCCCCCTCCGCCCTTCCTCCCTGCTGCGGTCGCTTTCGTTATTCAAGCTGCGTCGCGAAAGAAGCGGTGTGTGATGCAGGGGGAATGCGGGGTGTCGGCCGGTTCTTATTTTCATGCTGTGAGGGATGGTTTGCTTTTACTCTTCCACCATCTCCCTATTTGACTTAAGCCCGTAGGCAGTCAGAGGGGGGGTGAGTAACAGTGCAAAAAAAGGGTGGCAGTGCTCTTACCCTGTCATCCCAGCATCTGCTTCTGCTGTTAAATCCGTGGCCGTGTAGCTTGTTAAGTAGGCTTATGGGAAAAGTTAATGAAGGAACATCACAGGGTTGTTCAGTTTAGTTGCAACAAGATCTTACAAGGCTATTATGTTTCAGAATGGATCTCCTAAGACTTAAAATTGTGTCATTAAAACGTTTAGGCATTAAATAAGCACATGGGTTTCCTATCTGGGCCAGACACATCACTAGGCCAAAGACACTGATGCTCAGCAAGATCCTGTTCGCATAGGAACTTGCCTATGAGAATGCAAATGAATAAGAAACAGAGATGGCATAAATGCAAAGTATCGTAGATAAGGGATCATGCATTGACTAATTACAGCAAAAAGCACAATTAAGTTTCTTTAGGCTAAATTAAACCAAATTTGTCATCCTTTCGGAAGGTGTCTCTCTGGTATCTTTCTTAGGGTTTAAAAAAAACCCCGAAACTTAAGACTTGCCAGCATTAATTAGAATAACATTTCTAGGGAAAGATGCTTTCCAGCCTCAAAATTCAGGAGTGTGTGTTCTGTTACCACTTAGTAAAGTATGAACTTTCACTTCTGCTAAATACATAGGTGTGCTAACTATAAACAGAGTGAGAAAACAATGGTGGTTGTATGGAGACATTTTTTAAAAATGTTATGGTGTATTGTAGAGTGGCATAACTGAAGCAGGAAATAGCACTGTTTTTTTTTTTTTATTCTCTCTTGGTGTCTTAATATAATTTCAGTGTAATTAGGAACCAGATAAGGAATTTTTCAGTAGGGGAAGTTCATAACTTCCTGGTACTAGCTAGCTTTTGTAGTTGTTTTTTTTTTTTTTCTCTTTTGGTTGCTGTTCTGTAACGTAACACGATAGTAAAGAGGAAGTTCACGAGCAATTCTGTTTTTCTGTTAGTATCTGTACAGTTTATGAGTCCTAGGTAGATTATTGCTTTCTAAAATAAAAATTTACACTTTTGGTTATTTTAGATTGAGCTAGAATGTTCTGTATAAGAGCCTTGTCTCTTTTTGCCTGAGGTGTTGCAGGAGGTTATAGGCATGTAGATTGTCTGCTCTTGCTTTTCAGAAATGGCTATTGTTGTGGAGGACGTAGGGTCATCGGTGATGTGTACAGAGCAGTGACATCAAAGTTGAAGGGCGACACTTCTCTTGTCTGTGTCTCACTGCAGTCACCTCGGACCATAGGGTTTCGGGTGATACTTTCACATCTTCCACAAAGACCCACAGCTACTTTGCTTTCACACGCAGATGTGGCTGGAGAGTCTGTTCACAGGGCGCTCCTAGTTGTGCAAGAAAATTACAAATTGTGTAGTCCCTCCGGAGCTGGCTTCCTTTTAGCAAAGGAACAAGGCAAAACGGACAAACCCTTGATCCCATTGTTGCTTTCCTTGGTGGCAGCATGTCACGCTTCCTCCCTAACGGCACAGGCCGTGTTCAACTTAAAACTGCCCCAGGTTTCTCATCATGGAGAGATCTGATGGAAGAGTTGTTTTGAGTGTTTGGGATTGTCCTTTTATTCCTTTTTGTATTGCTCAAAACAGATGAGAATAAGCCAGCGTTTGGTTCTTGAATGAGTATATGCTGGCTGAACTCTTGAAGATGTTACTGTTTTTACCTGTTTTCCTTGCCTGTGTAATTGGGACACTTGTTCTCCTATATTCTCTTTTAAATTATTTAGTGTAGTATTCAGAACATGGGGAGAATAAACAATTTTATAACAAAAAGAACAACAGGCAGGTTGTAATATGTAGCATAATGCTTCTACTGCTAGCATGTCTATAGGCAATTTTAATTAATTACAAATGCAAATTAAAGTCTTAAGCACTTAGATGAAGGATTAGCTAGATTTCTGCTTTTCTTCCATTTAAATGCTTTTCTGAGTAGTTGTGGGCAGGTAGGTAGTATGAGTAGCCAGGTATTTCTCTTCCAGAATTAGCGAGAGAGAGTTTGTTTTTTGACATAGCTCATATTTGTTTGACAAATGCAGCAAGACCTGAAGAGGACAGGTCTTTAACAACTGCGTGGGAACTAACAGACCTCTGTGTGTGAGAGCAGATTGTGAAATAGTTGAGCCGTGCCACTTCACAAGCACATTGCTGATTTACAGAAACAGGGAACACTGACGGGGGCTCCACTTTGCTGCAGAGTGCTGATAATACCTTTAGTTCACACAAACACTTTTGTGTGTTTCCTCTCTACACAAAACGTGATGACACCAATAATCATGGTAGAGATGATAACGTGATTTTTAAGTAGAGTGAGAGAAGCAAGATAAAATTAAGTTTAATGTTTAATCTCTGGAGACTACCGTGTCATTGAGCTTTACTTTCCCACAAACACACCTGCTGTTAAGCACTGGGTTTTCCTTCAGTGACATTTGTTTCAACCACAGCCCCATAAAGATCACCAAGCCCAGAGTTTTAAAATAAAGTACTCTTAATAGGTGAGAGAAAACAGCCCTCTTAAGCAAGTGTTAGTAAAGCACAAAGGGAAATTATTGGTTAACGCAGAGAGTTGGAAGGCTTGAAGTGATTGTGTTCTATTGTAGTTTCAAACAGCAAGGCTCTAGCTAGTTTTAACAAATATGTAATGCATGTGGGTGCCCTGTGCATCTGGTTAGCAGCTATATAGTAAGCATGTGCATCTCCACAGTAAGATGATTAGTAGGCACTTTGCTGCAATTTTGTCATTATAACTTCTAAAATAGATTTTTAATTTAGTAAATGGGTATGTGTCTGTGTTTGTGGCATACTGTATTACAGAGGAACGAAAAGGTGAGATTCTTTCCTCTCCTTAATTGCACGATGGAAATGGGAGGCTAGCTGATACGCAACAGTTGCTCCTCGCTGCTGGCAGAAGCCCTCTGGACTGTGCTGATACCGTAGCATAAGTAAATTTAAGTGTGAAGGTTAAATAGCCATACTGGCTCACTGATGTGTCAGCTTGGTTTACTGAGAAGTTCAGACTTCTGCTCTCTTTGAAACCAGCTTTGTGTAATTTCTAGGCTTTTTTTTGTTATCAGTGCTTATCCCCTGCCACCCCTTAGCTGAACTTGCTTATTTTCCAGAAAGAGAAAATATGCAAAGCTTATCCTTTAGGAGGGTTAGGCAAGGTGTGGGAAATACCTAGAAAAGGGACCATCCTTGTAAATAACTGGACCTACAGTACTGGCTAATGTGTATTTAATGTGACAGCTCGTGGTCTATTTTCAGAAAATGATTTAAAATCTACTTGAAGGGAGGTGATCAGTTTAGATACCGCATTTTGGTAAATTGTCAGAAAGGAGTATAGAGAGTCCGAAACTGTAGTTCTCAAGTGCTTGGCACCAAGTGCAGCCTGGAGTTGAAATACATTGTTCCTTTTTAAAAGGCATTCAGGTTTTGAAAAGGCACGTGTTGTTGAAGACAATTCCATTCCATCGTGCTTTCACATACTGCCATCCCACAGCTGTCTGTAAGTGTGTTACATTCAGGTCAGACTAAGGTGACATCTCAGAGAGGTAGTTCTTTCCACCCCTTCTCTACTTCTCTTAACTACTTTATCTTTTAGGTCATAATATTTTCCCTACTTCGAGTGTGAACTGCTGCAGCACTGGAAATGTTTTGCGATCAACAAATCCCAGGCATAAAGTTCACACTCAGTGTTGGCAGGTATACCTAAATCATTATAGGTGCAACACAAAAGAAGCTTTTATTATGGAGTGAAGATTGGAATCCACCTCTTTGCCAAAACTCGTATGCTATGGACTCATAGGCTGTATAGACCTTGGGCAAAAGGAAGTAGGGGATCTTTTACCCTTTTAGCACTTTCAATATATTTAATAACTATTTTGCTTATTATGTTGAAGTCAAAGCTCTTTTTTTCAGTGCTGTGCCACAGGATGTTGCCTGTCATGTTTGTTTGTGATGCTCAACCTTGCTTGAGTAGGATGCTATTATATGAAGATGACAGAGAGCTCAGTAGACATTTCCATAAGCTACGTTCTTCTGATCGTGCAACACCATGATGATTCAACTGCTACAATATTTACTTACCCTCTTGTTATTTGTTTTTCACATGCCATCCCACTGTTGTCACTGTTTGATTGACTATCCTGTTTGATGTTCTCAGTGAGATATATTAAATAGCTTGTTACCGTCTGGCAATAAAATATTACTTGAAAAGTACTTACACTCTTGCGAAGTTAATGTCTTTCTAACCCCCTCACTCAAGAGTTCTGTCTCTCATTGTTGTCTATCACTCATGTTTCTTAAAAACTTCTTGTTGACAACTGCCCAATAGCTGTCGCTGAGGTTTCGTTGTCTGGGGAGATACTGCAACTAGAAGCTAGCCTTGTGGGAGGTGGGCAGCTCCAGATGTGGAATTCAATACCAGCAATCAGGTGTTTTCTGAGCCCACAGTCATGGTATTCAACCCAGCAGGGTGATTGTTTTTTTTTTTGTTTTTTTTTTTTTTTTTCTTTTAATCTCATAATTTGCATAGTTTCTGCTTCACTGTAATAGGAACTAAATCAATCGATTCTGAGGAAATGTCTTCACTTTCAGAGGACATTGAAGAGAACATAGTGCTGACAGTACTTGTACTTTGAGAGGACGGCCATTCCTAGAAAAGTGTACTATCATTAAAAATATCAACCATTAATGCAAAATAAGGATTTGTTTTCTGTTGTATATAAAATCTTATTTCTTTAGACACATATACTCTAATAGCTAAAAGAACCTAAGGTCAAGGTGAGATGGAGGGGAGGGCATCCTTTGCTAATTGCCTACATGGCATTGATACCTCAGGCTTCATTTAACTCTGTTCTCTCCCCTCACCCCACACCTTCAATGTGTGCATGTACATAAAAAGAAGATTAGATTGTCTGAGAAGGTAGACTGAGTGGGAAGATGGTAATGTCAGTCAAAGAGTCTAGATATTCTAATTATTACATCTTCTGCTTTTTAAGCTTTACTGTGTACTAACATTGAAAATGTTTTGTTTTGTTTTGAAGGTGGCTCTGAGCCCTACATTGAAATATTTGAACAACCCAGGCAAAGGGGCATGCGTTTCAGATACAAATGTGAGGGAAGATCAGCAGGCAGCATTCCAGGAGAACACAGTACTGAAAACAATAAGACGTTCCCTTCCATACAGGTAAATACTGCTTTTATCCATAAATTACCACTGCCCACATTAACAGTGTGCTGTAGCTATGCACTGGGCTCAGTGGAGTAAATAAAATACTTTTCATTTCTTGTTATGTTATTCTTTCCTTGACATGCAAATGTAGTTGCAGCAGAGTGGAAAATTAGTTCTTTGCTCCAAGTCAGTGAAGATTTTGTTTCCAATTTACAAGAAGAGGAGAAGGTTTAGAGGTAGTTAACAAAGTGCTGATAGAGAGGGAATTGAGTGAAGTTACTAATTGTCTGGGAATCATTCATTATTATCTTTTTCTGTATGCACATTTGTTCTGGTTTCTTAGTTATGTGACGTGGGTTTGTTTTTACTGTTTGGGCTGCAGTATGAATTTTGGGAGAGCTTTGAAGGAATTTGCATACAAAAGTATGAAAAGGCCCTGAAAAGCTGCTGGGCGCAACATGAAACAAGGCACTTTCTACAAGCAAGCAAAGTAAGAAAGGGACTTGCAGCCAGTGATTCAGTGATTAGGCTCTGCAAAAGAAACTGCCATGAGGTTTGTGAAGTCAGAAGGGGATACAGAATTTAAAAACGAGCTGAGAAAGGGGAATTGTGTGGTCAGAGCACCTGCAATGAAGAAGAATTGAGTGGTTGCATTATGGGTAGGTTGGGAAATCCAGGATGAAGGGATTCAGAGTAGCCCTGGCAGCTCTGATCAAAGCAGGGACAAAGATACAGACAGCAGAGGTGGAATGGAAGCTCTTTGGCAGTATCTTTCATATATGGGAGAAAGGACTGTGTTAGAGACCCTAGACAGGTGGGTAAGGGAAAGGAACTTCTGGTCTCCTATTTGAAGTTTAAGTTGTTAGTGTTTCCTTGCGCTCGTTCAATTTGGAGAAGATCTTTCAGAGATGTGATTAGAAGAGAAAGCTCAACTCTAAATGGGAAGTTAAGAGTACTTGCCATCTTGAAGTACGTTATGGTGCCCAGGAACTGCAGCTGTGTATCTGTGTTTTCAGTGTGTGCAAGTATAAAAAAAGTGGAGCCAAAGATGGAGTCTCTGGAATCACAGCAGACAAAGAACAGCTACAGAGGATGTGGAGTCTGAAAAATGTGATGTTTTAGGCTGAGGCATAAAAGCTTCTTAAGGAGAGGGAGAGTTTGAGAAAGGTGGTATTGGCAGTCGTGTTGAGCCGCAGAGTGAGCCTCTACTACATAAAGCAACTGTGGAAGCTGGTCTAGCCCTGAAGCCAGAATTACTAAAGGAAGAAGCAAACAAGGTGTCCCCCCCACCACCCTTGACTGTCCCAGTGCCAGATTTGGTTAAGGAATGCGGGAAATTGCCAGACTTTTTCTCAGCACTCTACCAATTGAACAACGAACTATGTAGGCTGGTGGCAAGAGTAAATACTTTCACAGACTCTCAGCGTAAGGCTGTGTCAGGGCAAAAGTTGAAGGGGCAGTCTAAGCCTTTGATTCCTCTTAGCCTGGACTGTGCTGCACGCGAGGGCCAGCCAGAACCCAAAGGGAAGCTGGGACGTGGGTAGGTGACTGTGCAACCCTGGCAAAGTGTGTTCTTTTTTAAAGGTGACTGTTGATGAGAGAGCTGATCGCTAACGATAGCAGGTGATTTCTAGGTGAATTCCTGCCTCCCTGAAGCCCGTAGGAGGCTTTAGTGCTGATTAGCTGCTAGGGGAGTCCCCTCTAGAGATGGCAACATCAGTGAGGATGAGAACAGAGAGGCCAGGAAGAGATTAAATTTTGTGGTGCAGTTATGAAAAAGAAAATCAAGGAGGAACTGGAGAATCAGAAGTGGTTAGATCAGGCTTCGAGTTCAAGGGACTGGGTGTGAAATGAGGGAGAAATGATGTAATAGTTGAAGAAGGTGAAGGAGTGGTAGAAGTTTTGTTATAGGGGTAAAATGTAACGGTGGCTTGTATGAAGGCCAAGAAAGGAGCCAAACTGGAGACTGAGGAACCTAACAGATGCTGGAAGCTAGAAAAGCACAGGTCAAGTCAAAGGTTTGAGGTGCGGGCTGAAAAGGATGTATGATACATCGCTGCAGTCTCAGGAGGAGGAAAGAAAGGGCTGAAGGAGGAGAGGAACAGTTAGTTATAGGGTAGGGGAAGTGGAGGAGGAGAGCTCACCTCTGCATAAATGTGTGCCTGAGCAAGTCTTGTATTTGCTTTCAAGTTGTTATGCTTCAAACAACTTAGGCCAAATTGGTTTTCTTTTTCAGGGTTTTTTGTTTTGTTTTTTTTTTTTTTTACACTCACGCACACGGCCCTTGGTGACTTCACTCACTGGTAGCTGTCAGCATGAGGGAAGACACTTATACACCTGAGAAACGCGTGCTGAATTAGGCTGATTACTGCTGTGAAGGCTCTAGTAGGAGCTTGAGAACTCAGTGCCCCCCTTCTTCAAGATAAGATTAAATATTCATCTGAGAATTAATTAAAAAAAAGAGAGACACTTCATAGTGGATTATGTCATACTGTATCTGTTAAGATCCTCTTTCACCGCTTAGGGTTCCATGCACAGGTAACATCCTTGTCTCGGAGGTTTAGGAGCTTTTTCCTAAGATATTTGGAGCTAGATCCGACCTTCAGTAAGCATTTGTATGTGGTCACCTATGTAGAATTTTGCAATTTTCATTGTAAGGCTAGATATGATAATGAAATATGTCCTGTTAGATTTGGTCTTACAGCATTACAGGCTGTTTTACTCTTAGGTCTAAGCTCTGTATTACCTCTGGCCATTTGCGCAGGGGTGAATTCAACTCGTATAAAGAACCCTGCTAAAATGATGAAGCAACAGACCTCCAGCATCACAAAAAAAAAAAAAAAAAAAGAAAAGATTTTTGTTTAGAACATTTCAGACTTCCTTCCCGTTCTTGCAGTAGAGTAGCTTAAGAGAACTGAACAGATTGAGTGTTGAATACTGGCACTAGCAAACAAATAACCAGTTTATTTGGCAAAACTAGCAGGTGAAATATGTTGTTTTACTTTCTAAAATAGATGAGATATACTCTTGAAAAAAAACTTCACTTTTCAAAGATTTTGCCAGAGAGTTGTTTTTTTAGCATAAAATGAACAGAACTGAATTGGAATGCACAGCTTCTGAAAGGTCCTGGCTTTTATGAAGCAGTAATGTGATTTCCTTAGCTGTGATGTTTCTTCTGTGGAGTATTTGAAGATAAAATGTATTTTCTCTTCCATGTGGAGACTTTACTAGCCCTGATATCTAAAATCTAGAAAATACCTCACATTTTTTGTAGATTCTGAATTATTTTGGAAAAGTCAAAATAAGAACTACGTTGGTAACGAAGAATGAACCCTACAAGCCACACCCTCATGATCTGGTCGGGAAAGACTGCAGAGATGGCTACTATGAAGCAGAGTTTGGGCCAGAACGGCGAGTCCTGTCGTGAGTAGTGGTGTTGCTTGCAAATTAGATTAATTATGGAAGTGATTTGCTAATCTTATGTTTTAAAACTCTGACTAGTGATTAAAAAAGCAATTAGTATGCTGTCTTTGCTGGAGTTTACTAATCCATCTCAGAGGGAAGGCAACTTCTCTTTGAAGTATTTCCTTCTTTTTCAATACTTCACACCCTCATCTTTGCTCCTATTTTTTTTCCAACCACCCTTTTCTTTCATTTGTCCATTCTCCCAATGTCTGTCTCCTTTTCCTTTTTCCCACTCATTTGCTTTATTTAGTCTTGTTCAGTAATGCTTCTTATTGTGACTCTCTCCTACATGTGAAAATGATGAAAAATAGAATGGGTAACAACAACATTAGAGTTAGCACTTCACGGTGATTAGGGAAGTTAATGTCTTCCATGGGAACTATATTTGGACTTTCTGGAAGCTGGTGGAGAAAGCTTGTACTGGCCGAGTATCACATCATTTAGAAGATAATGGTGTTGACACTTCTAGAAATGTGTTAGCAGCTTTCAGTGTTGTTGCTGTTTGTTTGGGTTGGGGTTTTTTTTGAGTAAAAATACAGATTCTGTTCGGGCCCAGATCTGTAGAGCAAGCATGCTGGGGAAGGATCTATTTGTGGATGCAGTAAGGAAAACTTGGGCAGTGTATGAGATGTGTTTCTCGGTGCTATTCAGAGGGCTAATAAGAATATCTAAAATACAGTTGTATTTGATGTCATTCCCTGTAAGTTTACCAACTCTTACGTTATAAAGTAAAAGCAGAGTAAACTGCAACAAATGTTGAGTGATTACTGCCAGAGAGGGGAATTTTGAATTGACAAGCTGTTTGTGGTTCACAGTTTACGATGTAGTAAATTTGGAAGTAGGCTATTGCTTCGGGTAGACATAACTGAGCCGGGAAGAAAATAAGGTAAATATTTCAGTGTATAAATAGCTCTTACGCATTGCTCTCAGGCTGATGTGATTGTGTTGATGTTAGTGAAATTACGCCACGTTTATGTGGGTTTAGTCAGTAGAACGCTATTAAAGGAGAGAACTGAAGACACGGTGTGTTTGAAGATGATGATTACCTGATGGTGAAATAAACAGTTGTAATAGTGGAGATGCTTCTTCAACATATAGCCCAGGCTGGAGTGATCATGAATGTGCTGCAGTATATTCAGGTAGCACGTAGCGTGTTGACTGTGCTGTCTTTTGCTGTTACAGATGTTAACAGTTTTACGAGTTTATTGTTTTAAGCCCTGTTCACAGTGCTGTCCTGTCTGGCAAATGGTAGGAAAGGGTTAGTAAATGTAATTCCTCTAATTTTTCCCTCGCTGTCATACCTCTCTAGAAAGGTAGGGCAGTCCCTTCAGGCACTTACCTTCCCTCTTGATTGTTGTAACCTCACCCTCATTGGCTTCCCTGCAAATAGAATTCCCCTTCACCTTGTCTAAAACTTGTCTTAAGCTCTTCAGGGACCTTGCACCTTCCTCTGACCATCCATTTGCCAGCTGCTCCTTTGTCTTTTCATATCAAGCTTCCTCACTCAAGGTCAAAGGGATGTCTGCTGTTCTAGCCTATCCCGCTCCCTGCTCTCAGCCCTGTGCCTTCAGAGCTGAAGCAAAAAAATCCTCATTGCTTAACACCTTTTCTGGTTACCTATTGCATTCACTGTGTGCAGGAAGACACTGATGATTGGTTTTCCTCTTGGCATTTTGTTGCACAAGGTTAAGTGTGTAAGCACAAGGCAAACCTGTAGAGAGGCCACTACAGGATGTAATGCCAAAAAGCGTTGGGATGCTCTGCAAATATTTGTTGGCAAATTTTGATTTAATCTCCGTTATAAGTGTGTATCAAATACTGTTCTTTGACATAATGTTGTGTCTCCATTTCATTTAAAGCGCTTGTGATTGTTTGCTATATCCATCGCTTCTTCTCAGTATCATTTGGTTATAAGCCTCTCGGTTTCTTACAAAATAGTAAGTGGGCTACTTTCACTTTAGTGATAATGTGAAACTGTAAGCTTCAGTTGAGCTTGACATTGGCGATCCTGATGGGAGGAGGCTCAAAGCATTCTCTTTGAAATGTTTCCAGCATCGGTACACTCATTTTTTTTTTTAACAAATGATTGGTTGCTTTAAGATGAAAGACCAGTATGATCCATAATTGGATCTGGATGTTTAAAGTAATTTTCCTTTTTGTGGCTGGTGACTCAGTCTTCACATTCTTCTCTTCGAGTCCATGTTGGAGAATAGCCTTGTACAATACTAGTGAGCATAGTGAGCAGGGGATGTCCTCTCTTGGTAGTGGTTCTGGCTGTTTACTCTTGCTGAGCATCCCAAATGGAACAAAAAAAAATTTTTTTTTTGTTTTTCTTCCTGCAGAAGTGGAATTATTAATTCCAGATTTTGGGCTGGTCTAAGCAGTTACTCTGCTTTCTGTCTGTTTAAAGTTCCCCATGTAGTTTTGGTTGAGCAAAGCATTTTGTTCTTTGGTATAATGATATTTGTACTGCTGCCTAAACTTGGTCAGAGCCCTCCCTAGCCAAAAGATCATGGCAAAAGTGTGAATGTTGGATATTGTGTGACTGCATGTACGCTCAGATTTTTACTTCCTAGTTTGCCATCTCTACATGGATGATATCATAGTTTTTCAAGAAGTTTTTCATTTTTTTTTCTCTCTTCCTACTTCTCCCTCTCTTCTCGTTATCTTGCTTGCTTCCTGTCAGCTAGCGTTGATGTGAAACCCCGCAGCCCCGCTGAGGTTCTCAACAGTTTCTCCTCTGATCCGGCCCTCTGTTTTGCGATAGTTAAATAGACACTTTCACTGTGACAGCGCATGTTTTAGAAAACGTGCATAATCTGAGGATTACAGGGCACTTAAAAGCCTAGTTTCTGTCCATGAGAGACTTCGTTCATTTTGGTTAAAAGATACAGAGTAATGGCTGTCAGTCCTTGCATAACTAGATAAAGCTTTTGTTTAAGGCCAGTTCTGGATATATACTTGCTTGATAACTTACAGTGGATGGCTGGAGAGCCTGGGACTGCCAGGTGGCAATTTGGGGGGTGTAATATGGAACCAGGCCTGTTCATGGACTTGAAATGTGCTTCAGACTGAATCTGCGAATACATTGGGTAATGTGGGGGGGTAAAAAAAGCAGCATGTGCTGTGATCAAGCTCTAAAAAAGTACTAGCTATGAGACAAAATAGAAATAGGATTGCTTGCCCGGGTAGGATATAAACCTTGAATGTCAGTAGCCACAATATGAAGCCAAAGTGCTTTAGTGAATTATGAGATGCTACTGTGTTTCATTTTCCTCTGTGTTACTGTATCAAGTTCAGGTTCAAAAGGAAGCTTATGCATTCCTCCAGTGAATGAGGGTGGTGGCGGTGAAGCCTGACTGCAGAGGATTTGGGAACCTCTGAACAGAGTGTCTTGGGCACAGGCAAGGGAGTTTATGGAAATTAAACTTTACATCATGTTAGGATAGTCTTGTTCAAAGCAGGGAAATGTAGAACTATTCTTGAGAGTGTTGGCAGGAGCAAGGAGTATCTTTAGGTGTGTTAAGGTGGTTTTTTAATCATAGCTAAAGCAAAGAACTTTTGTGGAGTTTCAAAGGAAGGGAAATAGCTCATACTTCTGGAGAAAGATGCCTGCTGGCACGACCTATCTTCTGAGCTTATTGTAGCATCATGAAACACAGATTGCCTTTTTTTTTTTTTTTTTTTACTTCCTGCTTTACATCCACTCAGCTTTGATGATGTCATGGTTTTTCCATGTGGGAAAGAGTCAGCTCGCCTGGGACTCCCCCCACCTCCTGCATCGGGGTGACCTGTGCTCTTATGCAAATAAGGAAGAGCTGCAGCTCTTCAGAAGTTTTCCATAACTACATGAGATTTAAAAACCTGTTTTGACATGTTTCAAAAAACCTTTAAAACAGTGTTTGAAATTTACATTCCCTGATAAAAACAGATCGAATCCTTAACTAATGCAAGTCAGCAGGTTTATTGATAACACAAATAATTGTCAATTTAAATTACCTGACATCAAGTATTTCACTTATTAATCACTGTAGGTTTACTGCAGAGTAACAAATTTTAATATAGAAATATATATTCTTAATAAAGAATGTGAATTCTTTAAAATTTTATTTCAGTATTTTTCAGTTCTGTTTCTGCTTTTATTTTAGAAAAGAACAGCATCCTTGCTTTTCAGATCTTTTACGCCCTTCTCAAAATAAGTTTGTTTTGTTTTTTCATTCTTACACTGTATGTTATCACACTAGTCAGCATCAAATAATTTATTTAATATTCTACACTGAAGACTTTATCAGTTGCTGAAATCCTGCCACATGTGCTTCAGTTTTCAGAATTTGGGCATTCAGTGTGTAAAGAAGAAAGACCTGAAGGAATCAATTTCTTTACGAATATCGAAGAAAATTAACCCTTTCAATGGTGAGTAGAACTTAGCTGGTTCACTTTGCAAGGTTGTGGGGTTTTGTTTGTCCTGCCTTTGCTTTTGTGGTGGACCTTTATTTTTTCAAAAAAATCTTTTTTGAGAAATGCTTTTCCCTTTCTGTGTCCCTCCTAGTCTTTCCTCACTGCCATCACATGATGAATCTATTTGGATAGTTGCCCCATCTTTTTTGTTTTTTAAAATCCCCATCAGCAACGTGAGTTGCTGCTTGGACAGAAGCAATGGGATAGCAGCAGAAACCTTCCCTGGAAACTTCTACGAGTGTCTCAGGAATCAGATTTCCCAGTTTTGGCAGCTGTGAGAAGGAAAGACTGAATTAGCATAACTGTGTAACAATTTAAATCAAAAGAAATCTAGCTTGCCACCGTCCCATCCCTTCTCTTGTTGTGATACTGGTGTTTGACCCCTCATCCAGCCAGTTCAGGCAGCTGGTGGACTCCTTGAAGCTGCCCCTTGCTTGATTTAACAGCTTGGGAGCTGGTACAGACGCTCAGGAACTCCGCAGCAGTATTGGTCTCAGTCCAGTCTCAGGCAAGTTGTGCTGCTACAGAACCACACCTGTAAGGGCCTACCCACGGGCTGTAGTTTTATATGACAGCTGATCTGTGGGCTGCTCACAAAAAGAGTCATCCTGCTCTTCCCTCCATCCCTGGTCACACACACTCCTACTACTTTCCTCACACTAGATACCGAGGCTGTGTGGCTACATGGTGAACGGACTCAGCAAGTTGCTCCAATGGAAAACCAACTTGCAAAAAAAAAAAAAAAGTGGTTTCCCCTCAGATCAACTTGCTAAACCAAATCATCTCACGGTCGTATAATTGCTAAGTTCAATGCACAGAGCAGGTGGGGAGCTCACAGCAAATTGTGGGACCAGCTCTTCCAGCATGCAGGCAGAACTGGGGGAATTAGATGAAAACCATAAATACCCCCAAACTATTAGCTAGGCATTGTGAATGCAGTCATGTATTTGCTTAAGTGTGGCAAGAGCTTGGAGATTTTCCAAATAATTTTTTTTTTTTTTTCAATACCCACATAAGTCTCGCTGAATTCGGGTAAGACCCTTCTTAGAGAGTCAAGAGTTGGATTTCTGACTAGCTTCAAAATACATGTCCCTGAACTGGGACAAAAAAAGGATGTTGAACTTATTACAGAATGAGAAATGTTTTAGATAATTCTCTGAATTTTAGAACAGCTGTTTGGAGTCAGGCTGATGGTCCTAATGCTTTAGCTGAACAATCATCCTAATTCTGATAATGTATGCACACAATAGCATCTCTTTTTACATGAGTTTAGTCCTTCAGCACAATTTAAACAGTTTAAGTGTTTTAATTATTTTAGCTTGACTCAGCCAGCTCTACCTTGATTTTTTTTTTTTTTAAAAAAAAAGGGGGGAATTCACCTGTTCAGCCCTCTTGGCTTTCTTTTACTCCATAAATAAAAAATGGGTTGACATTTTCTCTTGATGTCGTGCAGTAAAAGAACATGATAAAGTTCCTTTTTGTGTGTGTGTTTCACCAAAGCAACTTTAGCAACCACACAGTTACCTTTGTTCCTAGCACTGCTCAGTGTAATAGTGAAGAAATGTTTAACTAAAATCAATTGACAGTAGATTTTTACAGTGGTTGGTGCATAACTCCAGATTCACTAATCATTTTTGGGCGATGACAGCAGGTTACGCCTGGCAGCACCAGGGCAGATCCTGGGCTGCTTTCCACCAGTCCAGCAGCGGAGGAGACCACAGCCCTGCCCTGGCAGCAGAGGAGAGCCTGGCTTGGGTGACACACAGGGCAGCACCCTGCTCTCGGCAGGGCTTGTGCTGAGAAGGGGCCACTGGCAATCCCCAGCCTGCATAATTGCCTTTCGGCAGTTGTTAACGTGTCAGCACAAAGCAGAGCCACTTGAGAATGACCTCCAGCTGCTCCAGGGCAGTCCCATGCTAAGTAAAGCCCAGAAAAACATAGTACCAAGGTCTAATAAAACAGGATTAGTGACAGAAGTATTTTTATATGTGTACTTAGTTGATCGAAACAGGGTTTCATTAGCAGCAGTCGCCATAATGTTCACTGCTTGATAAGATTGAAAGCTTTATGTGTGGATTTAGTTTGTTTTTCAAGGTCAGAACAATATCACTACATTCTCCAGGATTGCACAGGCTGTGTTGTATCCATCCTGTGTTGTGCTGTATTTATATGTTTTCAATAAAGGCATTTGACTTTTCTGCTTAGAGACATTTGGAGTTAGGTGCATCCTCTAAGCAGGCAGCAAGGTAGTGTTACACATTTCTTGCATGAATGTCATAAAAGGAATTTCATGGAGCTGAAAACTAGCCTTCAGGGTGTTTGTGTGATGGTTGTTTTTTCTTTCCCACCTTCCTCTGGAACAAACAGTCCCTGTCCCGACTCTCCTTTTAGGGCAGAGGTTCAGTATTGACCCTACTAACAGATGCAAAATGCCTCCAGCCTGCCAGTATGCATATTACTTGTCGTGCCAGTAAGGGATGAAATTATAGCAAGGCGTGGGTCCACAGTTGTGTTCCAGACTTCCTTGTGTAAAGGGGCCATTGTCTTCCAGGGGAGACAACTGGGATGGCAAAGGGAGAATGAGCCCTAACTCAAATTCTCTGGTAGCGTCTTCTCTCCTCCACACCTTCCTGCATATGGTATGGACACACACTGAATAAGGGTCATAATCAGCTACGGTGGGAAGTTGCTTGGTCAAGCTGTATGGGTTTTTAAGATCATTTTCTTCAGCGCTCTTACCTGTCCTGTTAAAGCAACTGATGTCTACCTCTGAACTCCTGGATGATAACAAGTCGGTGTTGCAGATGGTGCCATGTGCCTAGCTGGAGCTGTCTGCATCTGAGTCATTCTGCAAGCGTACCTGTACGGCTGTTTCACTATGAATTCCCCACTATTAGCTGGCAGCAACTATCCCTTGATAATTTCAGCCCAGGCTGTACAAATCGTGTGCATTCACTGGGATGCAAGTCGGATGACTTGCACTCAGGTCACTCCTCTTGCATTACCCTTGTTTGAGAGAGAATTGCTGTTTCAACACCTTCACTGGATGGGTTCATGATCTGTTGTGTTCATGAGGTACATCCCATATATTTTTGTCCTTTAATAAGCTAAACAATTCTAGAAGTCTGTCTTGTGTCTCATCCCTGAGCACACCAGGGAAATGGTACGCAGTGGCAGCCTAACGTGTAACTAGGACTCCTTGGCATCATGATGATATAAATAGCACAGCATCGAAGGAGCAGAGTTACTCCTCCAGTGGAGCTGGTCCATGTCTGCTTTCTAGGGTGTTTGTTTTCTTTTGGCAGCTGTTGACTTGTGCCATATCCTGGTCTTCCCATGTACTGTCTGATGTACAGCCAACTCAAATTAAAAGAAGAGCCAGTCTTCAGTTAAGAGCTTTTGTGGGTGGGTGTGACTTGACATAGAGACAACAACTGAGTTAATAACAACTCGAGTTAATTATCAATGAGGAAAAGCACTAAATGTATTCTTTAAATTTAGGGGAAAACTGTACTTAGCACAGTATTATAGAGGACTAACCTTTTTCTAGCCAAATGGATGACAGCACGAAAACCGTAGACTTGTCTTTGAGAAACCCAGAGAATTGCCTAATTTCAGGCAATAGATCGGGAGGATATACATAGGCTTTCCCTGGAGCTTGATACATGCTTAAGGTTCCTGTTCCTTTGTAATTGCTCTTGCTAACAAGCATTTAATTCATTTTTAGACTCTCCCCTATACCCCACAACTAATTCAGCTCTGTTTGCCTCTGCAGTCTTTCCTTTGCCGTTTCCCCTTTCCGCCCGCGAGCCGCTGACCCCGCGTTGGCTTCGCGCTCGTCACAGTCTCCACGACACCCCCCGCACGCCTCCGCGCTGCGCCCGGGCTCGTCCCCACGCCAGCCGCGCTCGCTTCCCACCCACGCACGCAGTCACCCTCTCCGCAGCTTCCCTCGCCGGCCCCTGCGCGGCTGCGCTCGTAGGGCACCCTCCTCTGACGCCACTCGCCCACCTCGGCCAAGTTCGGCAGGATCCCCCCTCTCCAGCCCCCCCGCCTTACCGGGGGGGGCGGGGGGGATGGTCGGGCCACAGATTACACGAGCAAATAAGCAAAATATCGTGAACCAAAAGGAGACTCGTGGCAAGAGTTCAGGAGTTGCAAATGGTTTGATAGTGGAAAGCATCAGAGTCCTCTCTAATGAATGCCACAGATGTTACAAGAAACTTCAAACTTTTGTCCATAAGTTAAAACAAATGTGTAACTGCCCGCTCTCTTCCCCCCCCCCCCCCCCCCCCCCCCCCCAAATTATCGAGCTAAAAATCTTGCTAAGTGAGAGTTGTCAGCTTCTTGAGCGACACAGAGGAAGTCCACTTGAGGAAAGCTAAATGTTTTGATCCTAACATGATTTCAGCGTTTACCTTTGGAAAGCCCTTTGTTCTTTTGTTCCTCATGCAAATGCTGCTTGCTGTCTGTGCTGAAACGTGTATATTAACCTAAAGGACAGTCCATTTTGTTTAAAAACGAAAAGGAAAATTACCAAGTAGAGACACAAAAAATGTTGGCCTTTTTTTGGTACTATAAACAGAAACTGCTGCAAAATATTTTAGAAATGTGCAGAGGCTGATTAGATATATTTGCTTAAATCTGTTCCAATTTTACCTTGTCTAGATTGAACTTAAAACAACAAAAGAACCCAGATTCAGAGAAGGATTGTGTAGACAAACCAAGGACTGAGTTTAGAAAGTCTTAATTTGCGTTCCCAGCTCTTCCCTTGGCTTTTGTATGAGGCCAAGCCATTCACCTTCCCTAGGTTCCTTTCTCCTGTAAAACAGGGGGATGTAACCACAGTAGTTTGGGCATTTATTGACTGTAGGTTAGCATCTGAATTTTTCAATCGTTTGCACTAATCGCCCCCTGAGTTTTTGCTTTTTGAAAACTCCTGAGTGTTGCTGATG